AGGCCTGGAGGGGCTGTGGCCAAGGAGGTGCCCTGATTTACCTGGATCTGTCTTCTCTATTGTAAAAGGGGTGAAGACATGGGCACAAGGCTTAGTGAATTCCTGGCAGTCACAGGGCCAGGCAGAGAGCGGACTGTGGAGGGACGGTAAGCACTGCCTGCTGTCCCCATCATTAGGCTGCTCTAGGGGTAGCACCCCTCCCAGGGGCAGGATGAGAGGAGGCAGAATTGCTGCCCCCCACACACCTCCCTGTGTCCTCACTGACACAGTGGAGCATTTTGCCATTTTGACCCTGCTCCCCAACAGTGCTGAGGTTTTAGGGGCTGTGAGGAAAACAGGGCCTGCTGGGGGCCACAACAGAAGTCTGTCAGGTGAGCACTGCGGAGGCACTGTCCCAGCTCACACTGGTCTAGGGGCTGTGAGGGACCACTGCCTCAGATGGTGCCCCGAGGAGCTGCACTCAGTACTGGCAGTGAGCACTGCATGGGGAAACTGTGCCATGTGGGATGAGATGGAGGCTGCCCCCCGCACAGCACCCATACCAGTTGCCTAAAGCTCACCCACCCGTCACTCAGCACTACCAGGCCGGCCTGGGGGTGGCAGAACCCTTCTGTCCCAAGGTGGGGCATCCCCCACAGGAAAATTTACTCGATGCAGAGTGATATGTGTTCTGAGCACCCATCATGGGGAGGGAAGGCGACAGGGATCCAGTCCCAGAGTTGTCTGATGCTGAAGCAGGCACCAGCCCCTCCTTCCCCAGGCACCACATTCTTCTGTTTGCCTGGCCATGTGCTCTCACTAGGAAAGGAGCTTCAGAGAAGGACCAGACAAGGGCCAGGCCCAGAAACCCCCTGTTCAAATGCATCCCTACTGGTGAGAGAAAAGAATGGAGGCTTCTCAGAAGTAGGAATGGCCAAGAAATACATGAAAAAATGTTCAATACTGCTGGCCATCAGAGAAATTAACATTAAAACACTGAGATTAAAAAAGAAAAGGGGGGCGTGGTGGCACACACCTATAATCCCAGCACTTGGGAGGCCGAGGCAGGAGGATCGCTGTGAGTTCAAAACCAGCCTGGGCTACATTGTGAGTTCCAGGTCATTCTCAAAAAACAAAAAACAAAAAACCACACTGAGATTCCATCTCTAGAGAGAATGGCCAACATCAAGATATCCAATAATAAATGCTGGTGAGGCTGTGAGGAAAAAGGAATCTTCTATACTGTAAGTGGGAGTCCAAACCAGTAAAACCACTACAGAAATCAGTGTGGAGATTCCTCAAAAACTAAAAACTAGAAATATATTTGACCCAGCCATTACCTTTCTAGGTATTTTCCCAAAAGAGTTAGGGACATCATATTCCAGTGATACATATACACCTGTGTTTATACAGCACAGTTCATAATAGTTTGGTGAAATCGTGACTGCCATTCCCACCACAGGTTTCAATGTGGAGACCAGTGAATAAAAGAACATTGGCCTCGCTGAGTGGGATGCGGGTGGCCAGGACAAGATCTGGCCACTGTGGCACCCACTACTTGCAGAACACCCAAGGTTTGAGCTTCGTGGCAGACATGAATGACAGAGTGTGTGTGGATGAGACCGTGAGGAGCTCATGAGGCTCCAGGATGCCAACCACCTGGTGTTTGCCAAGCAGGACCCCCCTCCTCCAGTACAACAAATGAGCTGAAATCACACACAAGCTGGAGTTGCACCCTCTATTCCACAGGAACTGGTCCACTCAGGCCACCTGTGCCACCAGTACGAACAGACTATGAAGGGCTGGACTGGCTGGCTAGTCAGCTCCAGAGCAAGAAGTGAGCCACAGCCCTCTCCCCCTCACTTCCTCTTTTCTGCCCCTGCTTTCCTCTCATGCAGCAAATGCGGGACTCGGTGGTCCTGAGTGCCAGGAGCTGTCTCCACAGGTTGGTCACAGTGTGCAAGCACCATGTTGTCTATGTGCGGATGCAGCCAACAGCCACATTCTGATTCAGTCTAAGTAGTTTATTTCCACTGAGGCATCTTTGGTATTCCTTTGCAACATTACTCAGCTTTTTTATTGTAAAAAAGGAATTACCTATCAGTACTGATAAGGGATTTGGGCACATGGGCCTCTGCCTACAACCCAGGAGCCACTGGGTTGTAGGATGGTGTCAGGATCCATTTGTTGATTGATTTTTTAACCAGAACTCAGTGTGTTTAAAAAAAAAAGTTAGAAATACAAGAACACCTGATCACAAAGCAGAAAGATTATGCCTAGTTTAGGCTCTGTAGTTTGGCCCAAATGCTAGTCCATCAGATCAGCTGTTCTTCTGGGAACTCAAGAGATGGTGATGAAAAAACGCCATCCAGTGCCTGGTCACAGTAGAGGCCCCTTGACCCGCCTGTCTTTGGGTCACCTGCATTCTAGAGCACTAAGCTCGTACTCATTAATGGGCCCACACTCACCCTGAGGCAGGCTGGGAGGGCCATGATAGGGACAGGGGGCCCAGCCTCACCCTCATTCTTCATCAGTGTGCAACTGGAGTGGCAGCCCATGTTCCCAGTGCCCGCTTGGACACTGGGACATCTGGGTCTCTGGCAGGAGTGTATGCCAGTTGGGTCAGTCAAGCCACTCCAGACCTTGGTCCTGGAACACCCCGACTTTATATGAAGTAGCTTCCTGCCTCAGCCTGCAAGGAACCCATTTGCCATCAAACAACATAACCTGCACTTTTTTCTTTTGTATTTTGATAAACACTGAAGAAGCTAGAGTTGTTAAATCTATCTTGGGGAAGATTCAGAACTGGTTTATTTGGTGTTGTAGAACCTCTTACTGCTTTCAGTATATCATTTTGTTTTCAGTTTTCATTTTGACAAGCTCTGTAATTATAGCTATTAGAATAAAGTCTCTTAACTATTAAAAAAAATAAAGAAGGATAAACTTGAGTTACTTGTAGGAAAATAGATGCATCTTGAGACCATACTGTTAAGTGAAGTAAATCAGACACACAAGCTTAAATGTCACATGATTTTTCTTACATGAGAAACTCAAACATAAATAAAGAGCAAAATAAAGGATAAATAATGAGGGTGGGGAGAAAGTTTGCTAAAGGAGTTCTGAGTTCATTAATCAAAACACTGTAGTTCAGGGATTAGGAATTTAGCTCAGTGCCTGCCTCGCAAGCACAAGTTCGATCCCCAGTACCAAAAAAAAAAAAAGCACTGTAGTTCTATTTCTGCATTTTGTGATGTTTGTAGTATCTGATACCTTTTTAAAAGTGATAAGCTTTACACTTCACTGACCAGGGTTCTCTCTCTCCGTTCATGATAATACTACTTTATATTTTTGTCAAGTAAGTAAGCCTTGCAATGAAAAAATAAAATAAAATCTACTCCTTTATACCAGAAAGTTACACAAAACAAAAAAACAAATTCACCCCCCTGGCCATGTGGCTGGAAGCACTCATGCTTCCTTTACCAAGGAGGGTACTGCACTCTCCTCTGGGGAAGAACCACAGAGACTGCAGAGCCCATTAGGCTGCAGTCACAGACCACTGCCTTCACCCCTTCACTGCCCCGGCCCAGTGGCTGTCCAGCAAGGAGCATTCTGGGCACCGCAAGGCCCCAGGGGCAGGCACCTGCCTGTGCCCTTGGCCTGGAGCTCAGTCTCCCACTGCTCTGAACTCACAGGCTAGGCAGGGGAAGAGGCTAGCACTAAAGTCCAGGAGACTGATCTAGGCATGGCACAGGGAACTGAGACAGACCAGGCTGCAGCAAGAGTCCCTGGGGGGAATGGCCAGAGCCAGTCACAGTCCTTGTACCTCAGTACCACCACAGCAATCTCACACCAAGCCCAGCACACATTAGGCTGTAAACATTAGAGCCTTAACAGCAACATCTTCTCACTCCCTCACCTGCATGCAGCTGGGCACAGACCAGAGTGCCAACTGTAGGAGCTGGCAACCACAGGCCTCAGGGGATCCCTTCCTGACAGGTGAAAGGCAAAGAAAAGAACAGAGCTATGAGGATAGCTGAATGCTCTCTCAGAGGCCAGGCTCCAAGAGCCCCATGTCCATGGCTCTGCATATGCATAAACAGTGCCACCCTGGGCTTCCCTGGTTCTGGGGACCATGCTGGCTGGCCCCATCTCAGCCCCGAGCCAGCCACCCACCTCTGCTCTGACTCACAGGACCCTAGGACCTTGGCTGGCATGGCCCTCACTTACCGGCTTGCCAGCCCTGCTCACCGAGGGACAAAACTCTGGGAAG